TTTTCTGCCAAAGAAACCATCATCTGTATCTGTTGTATCAAAGATTTGACATAATCGTAGATTGATAAACATAAGTGTCACATTCGAAATCATAGATACTTCATCGATTATAAATAATACTTTTATCATTTTTTCAAACATAATCCCGAAATAAGTTTGTAACATTCAACTTCGTCATTTTTTGGCATCTGTTTCGTAATTTTCCAGATTTTGGCAAAATCATACAAATTCAATGATTCTAATTCCTTAGGTGCTTGGATAGTAATCATCGATGAGCGACGGACAATAAATATTCGTAGAATTTTCATCGAGAGCTTTAATTTCATTGAATGTTTTAACTTTTCGGTTTCTCATCTCATTAACGTCAATCCATTTGACAATAGTATCACTGTCCGTATCATACAAGGGATTCCTTAATAGTATGTCCGCAGCTTCTAAAGCACCGCATTCTCTATTATTCAATGAACGCAAATTCCACAGTTTCGATGCCAATGGCTTATTGGAATCTATCATTGCAAAGTCTATATTGCATTTTTCCGACTTTGTCGTGTATTTTGTTAAGTATGAGTTTAAAAACTCTGATGTTTTTCTAATAAATTGTATGTCCATATTTCCCTCCCAAGTTAATTTGATGGCCGGATTATAATTATTGTTAAACGGTTTCTAATATGACTGTCCGCGGCCCATTATCATTGGGGACCGCGAAGAGGCAGCAGAGGAGGCGGGCGGGAAAGAAATAACAATTATAATAATTATAATAATAATAATAAAAAATAATTATTGGTAATTTTTAAAGATTATAATTTAGCGCCCATTATTGATATCAAATCTTTGATTTACCTGATACATATCGTTAAAGTTAAGTAGATTTTTTTATTTTTAGGACTACTCATTACAAGTAATTTCTTCAGTAAATAAACACGTAATAGTTAAGAGTTATCTCTCAAAATAATTTTTCCAAGTTTAGCACAAAATTAGTATAGTCAGTTATCGTTGCAATAAAGTCGTTAGCAAGTCGTTTTTATAAATGATAAAATTTACAGCGTTACTTTACTTCCTATTCCTGCATTTTTATACATATATTATATATTTGCATAAAATGTTCCTTTTCAATTAGCTATTCAGTCAGACGATTCATACTATAAAAATTCATCAGTGTTTGAACATTTCGGTAACTTTTACTTAATCTCATTCCTTTTTCCAATCTGGAATTATTACTTAATATAAACCTGCTTCATACGATACTTGTTTTCCCGCTACATTTTCTGAAACCTTCGGAAGGTTTAGCAGTCACCCATCTCACGTTAAAAAATTATTAAAAATGAAAGACCAAAAGACAACTAAAGACAAGATTACACGAACATGTCTCCGATATCAATAAAAAGTCAAAATCCCCAACAGTGATCACAAGTCACCGCATTGACCAGAATCACAATTTCGACTGGGACAATGTGGAAATTTTAGACAGAGAAGCTTTCTTTAATAAAAGATTGATATCGGAGATGGTTCACATAAAACGACAAACGCATGGGCTAAACAAACAAAATGACACAGAATCTCTGCCAGAATCATATCTAAACATTATCCAATCTCTTTCCCCTTCTTAACATTGTCCTTCGTCTCCTTCCTATTATCTTTCCTATTTCTTTGTTTCCTTTTTGTCATAACGTCGCTTGACATCGTTGAGTTTAAATGTTACATCCAATTGTATCATGGCTTATTTTTTATTAAATACAACTTTGTTATTTGCGTTTTCCTATCGGAGTCTACTTTACATCATTAAGACAATATAAGGTATATGTTTTATTTAATTTGCATTTTAATTTAATTTACTATAAATGTACATCGATAATTTAATCTATAACGCAATGTTAATGTATTATTTATTTGTGAGATTGTAGAATTATGAAAGTGAGATGTGATCTCTTTTGATATTTTTACATATGGACCGCATTTTATGAATACAACCGAACTTTTCACTGGACATTATAATTTGACCGAATTTTCCGATAATTTATGTAAGAGTGTTTGTTGTTTTACATTGATTGAAAATGACCCGATCGGTGTCGAAACGTTTGTATATATACGATTATTAAATATCTTACATTATAATTGGCTCGTTGCCCTTCTTTTATTTATTGATAATAATTTATGTTTTACATTGCTTGTGTATTGTGCATATGAAAAAGACTTGCATAAACTTAACGTAAAAATTTCATTTAAATGTAATCTTGAAATATACAACACAATCCTAGTTTAGATAGACCGAAAAATTGTTTCTCCAATAGTCTTGGAAACTTTCAATCTGTCAAAGACTTTTGATTAAAGAATAAGTATTACCTTCACAGATACGAATGGGAAGGAAAGATACAAGAAGAGCCTGAACTTTTGCTGGTAAGAAAGATTTATCAAACTTTGTATACATTTAATCATACAAATATAAAATTATTATTGACCATCTGTCTATGCATAAATTGCAGATGATAAAAACTAGAACAGAGAGAGTAGATGCTCTAACAAAATATGTTAAGTGAGTTAAACATGACTAATATATCTATTTTAGGAGTATGTCAATGTTTATAACTTGAATTTTTTGCAGAGAAAATCATCCGTATACAATTTGCGAAGTAATCTCTTTACCCGTAAGTTAATTTGCGTATCTTACTCTGTTGGAATAGCTTTGCAATATTTTTATACAGCCAAGGAGAGACAAAAAAAATAGAGACAAGACAATAATAGTTCGATAGTGGTGAAAATTTTTCTCAGAATTTTTCATATAATTTTGCAGAATTTCTATATAATTTTATAACTTTCTCATATTTTTTATACGAATTGGAACACTTCTTAGAAAATCTACATCTTTTCTCAGAATTTTTCATATATGTTAATTATGAAATATCGTAAGATTTCTAAGATTTTTTGTAAGTATAATTTCTGACGAAATGTTATAAAATAAAAAATTTTTAAATATTTTTTTAAATTATGGGATGAGAAATCTCAGAATATTTCAGAATTTATATGTATGAAAAATTCTGAGAGAAGACGTAAACTTTCCGAATATTTCTAAGTATTTCTGAAAAATGTTCCAATTCGTGCAAAAATTATAAGAAAAATTTTCACCAGGGTAATGAATAATATAACATTGGATAAATACAAGGCACATAAACTTTATTATTAAAGATACAAACTATTTAAACATTTATTTTTAGATACAAAATGGAAACAGCGATTATCTAAAGTGGATCAGTGAAGCGGTACCATCACTTAATAAAAACGCTTAAAATAATTGATATACGATATATGATATATCCTCACAACAATGACCATGTTTACACGACATCCTTAATCGGGTTTAATAACATCTGTAGTTATGAAATTGATCATAGCTATTCCTGTAAAGAATGGAATAACTGTGATTAGCCAGTTTCATTACGGATGTTATTGAACCTGATTAAAGGTGTCATGTAAAGGTAGTCAATAATTGACAAGGTTGAGACTGATAAAAACCTTACTTCCGATTACCGACTCTCAACTCATTGTAGAACTCCGGTGAGAATAAAAAAAACTAATCATAACATGCATGTAATAAGATATGATATATAGAATGTGATACTTATATTACAAAGCGCAAATTCTTCACTTACATTATAATAATTATATATTATTATACAGGTCTGGAATTTAAATGTCAAAACTTCGGGAGCGTGTAGGGGATCGATAAACTAAGAAAAAAAAGTCCTGTAGAGATATGCTCGTTTTTTACTTCGTTTTGGAGAAATTTGCAAAAAAGACAAAACGTAGTTGCTTTGTTCTTGCACTGTCTCTGAAGTATTATCGTCGCTGAAATCATGCACGAAAACAATAATAATAATTCTTTGTGTGGGGAACTCTGAAGTAGTTTATTCGTCGTCAATCAACTCTTAGAAAACAATTGAGAAATCGAATGGAGACTACAGTGCACCAAATATCATCGAATCAGTGTTTGACTGCAACACGAGCTGTTCGTACTAGATGCAATGCCTGCATTGCTCCAAGAGATCAATATTTTGAACAATATCTACGTTAAGTAAATGAATAAATACAATGTGAATAAGTAATAAGAAAGTAAAAATGAAAACTGTTTTATCTTTTTTGCGATTTTCTCCAAAATGAAGCAAAAATGAGCATTACTTTACAGGACTACTTTTTTTAGTTTATCGATCCCCTACACGCTTCCGAAGTTTTGACATTTAAATTCCAAACACCCTGTATATTAATTATTAAACATGCCAAGTAATATCAATCTGCAGTTTTATAATAGCATACGCATATATGTATAATATTGTGTATCTTATCATATACTTATGTTATACAACATAATATAAAGGTTTAATTTTTACATAGTATTTTTAGAGTAAAATCAAATCTTTCTATATGACCTTTGTTAAGCTAACAACTCTATTTATCAGTCGAATCGAACTTGATAAAATATATTTAGTACTTTTTTTTTGTTGTGCGCGCGCGCGCGCGCGCGTGTGTGTGTGTGTGTGTGTAGATATATATTTATGAATATACTTTGTACTAATTTGTATCGCTAAAGATAATTTTGTATTAATTCAATCTTATTAATTTCTGATCTTAATTTTCTTTTTTTTTTATTTTGAGAAGTGATCCTGCCAACTTGATAATTATTTTTTTTCAAAACATACATAGAGGAAGTGCGTCCAGTACTGGACACCCAAGATTTTCTCAAAATTGGAAAGAATCAGTAATGGTCTAATTTACATCGTGCACTTGATACAGGTATTGTAACTAGTAACTTTCTATTGCATTATCCTGAGTTTTGTTCGCGTCGCATGCTTTCCTACTCACTCCAAAACATTCGCGGATCGAGCGCATTGAAGTGAGTTAGAACATTGCGACACAAATAAACCCTTAATTTCGATGATACGCGTAAACATATACATAATATGTGTATTTAATTAATCATTTTGAAGCATGTTATACCAACTTAGTATATTTGTCTAGGTCTAAGAAATTGGTTAATCATAGTCGAATGTAAGTAGAAAAATTGGCTATGATTAATCAATTTCTTATAGCTTAAGGCTTAAAGCTTAACATTTAAATTACTTTAAATTAAATTACTTTAAATTACCTTAAAATCTTATTGTAGACACCGCTTTAGTCCGCAAACACAATAGAATAGTAAACCTTAAGGAATTGACCAATCATAGTCGATTATTCTTCTCACATTCGACTGTGATTGATCAATTTCTTAAGGTTTAAAATATCTATTGTAGATCCGAACTTAGTCCGAACTTAGTCCGGATCTACAATAGGTGTTTTAAGCCTTAAGCCGTAAGAAATTGACCAATTACAGTCGAATCCGAGGGAAATAATCGACTGTGATTCGCCCATTTCTTATGACTTAAGGCTTAAAACCCTGTTGTAGATCCGGGGTAAATCTCTTTCGGCTTACGGCTTAAGGCCTCTTAAAACAAGGTTTGGATTTATATTTCACAAAGACAAAAGATATTGACATCGTTCGGTACAGGACAGTGTCTAGTACCGCACTTCCTCTAATACAAAATTATATAAATTATTAATTTACAAATTAACACATAAAAAGTACTAAATATTCAAATAGGTTTAGTTGAGATAAACCTATTATTTTGATATTATTTTATTCATCCAATAGCACTACAATCCAAATCGAACTCAGACCTGTTCTAGATGAGGTTTCGAAAGATTGATCTTTCCGGAATTAGATTAGTTAGTCTAATGTTCGATCCTTAACGTAGGAAAATGATGCATATCTATTGATATATGGGATCTACAGTTAAGGGAATTCTGAAGTCGTCCTGTTTTATCGTGATTACGTTTTAGGAGAAATCTCCGAATTGGCTTCATGCGAAATTTGTTTGCAGAATTAAAGAACGCACAAAAAGAAATCTCGGAAAACACGATTTCACGAGAAAATCAGACAAAATTTTTTAAATTCACTTTTTCTGGCACGTTCAACTGTCCTGAGATTAACATTTGCTTGATATAAAAATTTTACAGCTTGTAGATTGAAAATAAGCGTGAAGCGGGATTCAGATTAGTTGAACGAACAATACTGAGTTTGTGGAATTAAGATTCAAAGCATAGAAAAAATATTTCTCCTAAAACGAAATTACGTGCTTTGCAAGGACTTATTTTTTTCCTCTTAGTACAGATTCGAAAATCTCTTTCCAAGATTAAAGTATATACATTAATACGTATCTGTGAGGTGAAATTTATTTCGAGAACGACAAAAAGTTTCGAAATTGAAATCTTAAGAAAAATTTTTTGTCGTTCTCGGCATAAATTCCACAAACACGTATTAATGTGTATACTTTAATCCTAAAAAAGGATTTTCGAATCTGTGAAAGAGATAAACGTATTTGTTACACAAAAATTATAATTAGTCGGTAATACAGACGGCTTTAGGTTCCCCTTAACGCCGAATCCGAACGGCACTCATGTGTTAGAGCCTTCGCAGAAAAAAAAGCTGACTTATAATCTTAAGACAGTTGTCTTTTATGACTTAAGTCTTGTCTTTAGTAACGCACAAGAACAACAAGATGTACCATTGCGCGTAATGGCGATACTGGAAACAACCAATCAAATTTTGTCCTCTATGCACTTTCCTGCGTATAATAGCGCTGGCATATTGGAATAGCCAATCAAATTTTGCCCAAAATTCACTCTCCTACTGCGCATCTACGGGAATGTTTCACCTTGTATTCTTACATCATGTGTGGCGCAGGTGAGATTGACCTAGATCTATAGATCGCAAGTCAATCACACCAAGCAGCACGCCACTTGACGTCTCAGCTTAAGGGGATCCTAAAGCCGTAAAACAAATACTTTTAATTTTTGTATAACAAATACTTTTTTTCTCTTTCACAGATTCGAAAATCCTTTTCCAGGATTAAAGTATACACATTAATACGTGTTTGTGAGGTGAAATTTATGCCGAGAACGACAAAAAATTTCAAAATTAAAATCTTAAGAAAAATTTTTTATCGTTTTCGGCATAAACTCCACCTCACAAACATGTATTAATGTGTATACTTTAATCCTGGAAAAGGATTTTCGAATCTGTGAAAGAGAAAAAGTATTTGTTATACAAAAATTACGATTTAATCGGTAATACAGACGGCTTTAGGATTCCCTTAATACAATTACGTGATATAAAAGTCTTAAAATACTAATGTAAATACTTGCTCTTATATAAAACATTTAACTAATTTATTACCTATTCTATTTTCATACAAATAAAAAATTTGTGTCGTACAGTATTTAAAATCTTGACTTCAAATAAAGCTTAAAATTAATAACATTTTATCAATTGCTCTACAAAAAGATACATTATAATATTTGTAATTTACATATATGATTTATCATGATCTAAATATATTATAAATGTATATAAAAAAAATTTAATTCCATCACTGATAGAATTATCAATTTTGTTCATTACAAAATATAGAAAAATAATATCAAATTGAAATTGAAAACAATAAACAACATGAGATAAATTGAGAATAATTTCAGAGTATGAATATTTAAAAAATGCAGACTCCAAAATTATTACAAACCAATTCAGGATGTAAATATATATGTACGATTTTATAGATATTAAGAATTAAGATAAATGATTATATTAATTACAATTTAGAACAAAATGAAAGAAAATTTAACTCTGTGATTCGATAATACAAAATGAGCAAGTCACATCAATAACTTAATGAAGATATTATCGTTCACCTTTGTAACCAGGATAAATTAATAATAATGCAGATGATAATGTCTTATTGACCTCCATATCATAAATATTACCTAGAGAGTATCGACATGTAGGACAGAAATAAATCTTGGAATCAAAAGTCTGTTTTAAGCATTTTAAGCAAATGTTATGTTCGCAAGGTGTTGTTACAGGATCGTAAAGTATCCCAAGACAGCAAACGCACTTAAATCTGCAAGATATAAAATTTTATTGTATCAAGTGTCAGGTTAATTACTGAGAGTCATTTAAAAAATATTTAATACTTTATATAAAGCATATTACCTCTCTGAGACACAATCCAAGAAGGCAGGTTTCCCATTGATCAACGTTGCTTTACATTCATCCCATAATTTAGCATTTACTTTATCATTTTCTATTAAATCCTTCAATTCATCCTCCAAATAAAAAACTGACTTAGACTTTTTAAATTTCTTAATGGGCACACTACCTTCTTCGTCATTGTCACTGATGGATCGTTTCTTAGCTGAGATCTCATTCTTCATGTTATTCTCTTGATCGAGATACCCATCAGGATACAACATCTTTAGACCAAGAAATTCTATTCTCTCTTTTCCCTTCTTAGTCCACGGTGCAGGAGTGGGATCATCTCTTCTTAATACATACTTCCACATACGAAAACCGTTACTTGTGTTAGGATAATATTTTACTACTTTATATATACCATCGTATCTGTGAGAATAAAAAATTGTTAAAGAAAGATCGTTAAAGAGTGATATACTGCAGATCTATAGGAGTAAAATCAATGCGTTCAATGTACCTGTTACCTTCCTTCGGTGCATATTTACTAAATTTCCCTAATTTATAATTGCGCACAACTCGAACCGGTTTCCCTTTTTCCCAATTGTTCTCATTAGCCGACGCACCAATTACAGTATTTACGGAAGCATTACAATTCTTAGCTAATGCCAGATTCATTCTACTTAGTTCCTGGTCTTTGCTTTGTGAGTTGGTTCTTTTGTTACCTGTATATCCATAAAAAATATAAATATAAATACAAATATGCTCGCCTGTGAATGTGCATTGAATACATAGACACATTTTGATTGGATTATGAAAAGTAGAGTTCGACCGAAATTTCGGTTTCAGTCAGTTTCGGTCAAAAATTAGGGTTTCGTTTTGATTTCAGTTTCAGTCGAAATTAAAAGAAAATTTCGGTGAGTAAACCGAAACTATACAAGTTGCAACGCGCCAGTGAACATTTAAAAAACTGTTCAATTTTAATTATTAACTCGTTGAATAAGCTTAAGACAATTTGAGTACAAACTTTGATGTGATCCTAATAATAACTGTGATTTGATTTCTTTAATTAAAAATGAGAATACAATATTATTATAAAAAAGGTGGTATTATGGCTAGTGTATATATTATAGCCTCCCTTAATATCTCTGTTATTATATAGCGAATCCTAATGATTATTTATGGAATTATTTGTTCAGTAGTTCGCCGTTACACTATGACGCTAATATATCGATATTCAATAGCTAGCACTTATTATGACGCGTTTTTACTTTCAAGTATTTTGAAACGTTTCTGAGATACACTTTAGCATTTAATTACACCTACTTCCCCTCATTTTTCTTAAACTTGAGCGTATTATCATGAATATATGTATTTTTGAGTATGTTATTTGCTATTTAACATTTTATTTGACTGTATATATTTTGAATTATGCAAACTTAAGCAATAGCATGGCATTTTGGCATTTGGCCCTCTATGGATATTGATTACTCACGATCTCTTTTTTGAGGTTTTCATATCAAAATAATTAATTGATAATCGATTGTAGCTTTACTATTAATAGTTTATATTACTATTTTTGGTACTGACAAGGGAAGTTTCACAACTGTCCGAAACCAATTTGATTCTTCATAAAATATGTTGTTAAACACGAATATGTTGTTAAACACCGATTTGGATCTAAATCCAAATCGGTTCCGGACAGTTGTGAAACTTCCCTTGTGAGATTTTTAGTACTGAGCATCTTATATGCAGAAATTATGTGAATGTATAAACATTTATTTGTATACATTTTAAAATGTTTTACTTTTTGTTAATTTTGTAATCATTTTCTAAACAAACGGACAGATACCGTTTTCTAAACAAAACTAATTTTTTAAGACTATTTTTATGGTAGGTCACATTCCACCATTACCATCCATGTTTTTCTTCAAGTCATTATGCACTGTCGTCACATGTTTATTAAGTGTCCTAAGTAATAAATATTTCGTAACTTTGAATACAGAATTGATTCAACAACATTTTAATGAATGTAATTGTCAATGAGTTTTGAACTTAAATACTGATCATTAATCAAGTTATTGTAAAAAATGTAACTTTGTTTGTGGTGCCATAATATCATCTTCTCCTCTATTATTATATATCGTTAAATATTTTAATAAAATCCTGTTTTTTAAAGAGAGAGTACATAAATTTGTCATAATTTCTGAAAATCATACGGTCTCTGTAAAATTAATCCAAGTGTCGATTTTTTTTTTTAGTAAAACTTATCTAAGTTTCAGTTTTGGTTTCATTTTCGGCCGAAATTAAATGACAACCGAATATTCGTTTTCGGTTTTGGCCGGAGGTCAAAATGTGGTTTCGGTTGGACTCTAATGATAAACAACAATTCTTTTTAAAATAATGAGAATAGGGCTACGAACCAAACAAGATCTCGATGCTATATTATTAAAAAACAAACAGAAAGTTTATTAAAACATATGTTTCAACCCCAATCGGGTCTCTCATTCTCTCTATTAAAACAATATAACGCAATTTAAAATTCAAACGAAATTAACTAATCATCATAATTATCAGAATAAAAAATTATGAAAACATATAACAGTATTAACTAAATTCATCGCTATGAATGTGAAAAAATTCTAAATAGATGTATCGTTTAGCGCCGGATGACCGTGGTCAAGGCGCGTTGTTTTATATTATTTTATATTATTTTACAATAAAAATAAATTCTAAATACATTATTAAATCGCTTTGTAGTCGTCAACGAAACGAATGTCTTACAGTAGAGTCAACAGGAATAGTCAAAAGCATAATACAGAGATTTTGTAATACAAAAATGACCAACAATTAAGCCAACTATAAAGTTTAGTCTAAAAAATAATAGTGAGACCTAATTAATTTAAAAAATAATGTATTATTAATAGCATATGTCGCAAAATAAAATGTATTAAATATTAAAAAATATAAATTCTAGAGAAAAACGGTTATAAAAATAAAAAATAAATGATACCTGGTGAATTGGTTGTAATCCATCGCAAATTTTTTTATTTAAAAAAACAAAATATTCGAAAATTGCGTATTGAGCTATCTTGATTAGAGTTCTTTTTAATTTGATATAGGATACCTGACAAATCTCTACCACCCGAGCCGCTGTATAAAAACTCATCACCATTGTCGTAGTCCTCCTCATATCCACCCGACAAAACAATAGAATATGCACAGTCACTTGGTCGTCCATGGATGCCAGCTACAGGTGGTCTATGCACTCCCGCTTCCGAAACCTAAAGAGATCTCTTTTTCATATTCATTTGAAAGACAGATTTATCAAGATCAAGCCACTATGTGGAAGAAACTACATAGAATTTGCTTTCTTTTTTTTTACCTGTATTCTAAACTTCCAAGTAGTACCAACATCCACACCCGGAATTGGTCCACTATGATTAGAAGGAACCATGTAACAGACTTTTTGTCTCCGAACACAAGCCATTCCACCACCCCAATTTCGCTCGTTTTCGGGGCGGACGAGTTGCTTTTTTGTCTTTTTCAATGTGTCTCCTGCCTGTAATAAATAGAATAGTATAATGACACCGATAATAAAAATTGTGACAAATTATCAATAAAGGTATATATACCTTCACAATTTCGTTTTCATCATTTTTGCATTCAGGGCAATACCAATAAGCTTCCTCTGGCAGTTCTAGGAGTGGTGGGTTCAAGCATTTCATATGAAACATATCATCGCACTCATCACAAATCAAAAGCGTGTTTTCCTCTTCTTTGCCTGCACAGATTTTGCAGCCGCAAGCTCGACACTCTTCGTCAGGATTGTCCTCGCACTCATCACAATTAGGAGCTGTAGGTCTGCATTTGCCGTTACTTATCATTAATCGTTCGTCTTCTACAGTTCTCTCTGTTAATAATTTGGGTGCTTCTATAGCGTATATCTCTTCTATGACTCTCTTTTGAATGCAAAGAACAGTATTGCTGTGTTCAAAGAAAAAATTAATACAAATCAAAATTTTTTTGTATAATTTTTGTACATTTTATTATTTTGCTTTATATGCTAATATAATGACAGAACAAAGACGTACCTGATGTGCAATTGTCCAACTAACTCTCGCCATGTTCTTTTTATTATTATTTTAGTTATAGTGAAGTCAAACCACAATCCAATTTTCTTATTATTTTCTAGGTTATAATTAATCATGACTTTTTGATCAATGGACAATTCGTCAAATGGTATAGAACGTTGTGCACGCGGTCGTACATATACTTCAGGTATATTGTCAGGATACAGTGTGTTATCGAACTCCCATAATATTTCATAAAACATTTGACCTTCCTTTCTATAAATATTTTTTATAATAGCTTCATACCAGGCACCAGTTTTTTCATACATACAATCAACCGCATCGCCAATTTTGTAATATAAACTCTCAGTTTTTTCAAATTTTGTTTCTAATGCTTTTTCTAATTCTTTTTCTTCGTCCACTTTTTCTTCTTTTGTATTTTCTTCATTCTCAACATCATTCATCACTGCCTTTATTATAAGCAATATGGTGTCATTAAAATTGATACTGTAATTATCAAGCCGATAGCCATTTTCTAATTGTTTTCCAGAAAAGAATAATCGTTGCAAGTCTTTTTTAACATTCAGCTGCTTTTCAATCTTACACTGAATAATGAAAAACATCCATATAAATATATATTATTAAATAGTATTTATAACCGAATCTTATATTTTAGAGAATATATAAATATTTCGAAAGGTGTTCAAATTGAAATTATAATTTATCAAAGTTATAAGGTATTGTAGTAAAAAAACATAAATAATAGTAAATATTGTTTATCAAGGCCGTAATCACGCTACATGTTGCCGGTTACGGTTGTCGATTCTATTTTCATCAATCACTTTGCAGCTAACCTGCACTCGCTGCATCATGGTTGGCTGAAATAGAATAGAACTACAACTAGCAACCGTAACCGACAATTTGTAGCATTATTAGGCCTAACGTTCGTTATTTTATTTAAGGAGACCCTAAAGCCGTCTGTATTACCGACTAAATTATAATTTTTGTATAACAAATACTTTTTTCTCTTTCACAGATTCAAAAATCCTTTTCCAGGATTAAAGTATACACATTACGTGTTTGTGAGGTGGAAATTATGCCGAGAATGACAAAAATTTCAAAATTGAAATCTTAAGAAAAATTTTTTTGTCGTTCTCGGCATAAATTCCACAAACACGTATTAATGTGTATACTTTAATCCTAGAAAAGGATTTTCGAATCTGTGAAAGAGAAAAACGTATTTGTTACACAAAAATTGTGATTTAATCGGTAATAAAGACGGCGTTAGGATCCTCTTAATGCTTTAGAAAAAAATGATCAAAAATTTCTCTATCAATTTTGACAGACTTTTTAGCACGAATTAATAAATTGTTTCAGATTTGTTGAAAAATATTTGACATTTCGCAGATAATATTGGAAGTATTCGTTGCCATAATTTTGTTAGGTCCTGACACCATTGGTTTTTTTCTTTGAGGCCAAATAAAAGATCTGGTCTAATCATCTGTGAAACTCCAAATATTTTTCAATAGTTTAGGCAATAGCTCGGACATGGATATTAAGCCTGTTCTTTTTGGCTAAACTTTTGCCCCAGTTCATTTTTCTTTCTCTTCTTTCCTCCTGAAGAAAAAAGGAAGATTAATTGGACATAAGTTCAGCCAAAAAGAACAGGCCTAATCATTGTCGTGCTTAATATATATTCTTACAATATATAGGAAATAAAGTGATAAACGGTACCTTTAACTCTTCCACGGTGGTATGTTTGGTAATTGCCTTCAGCAATATCTTCTTCCCGTCTACAGTCTTTACATTAATAGACATATTAACGGAATGAAGTTTTTGTTGTTAGATAAGAGAAATAATCAGAATTATAGAATAATGATCGGAATGAAGATCGGATTCTGAACGAAGATTAGAGGTTAAGACGGATACAAGACCAGACAGAAACGTGAGAACACGTTTCAAAGACAATAATAGAAAGAACGAACGATAGAATTTGCCAAATTACTTTTGCTTATGCACTTTGCGAATGCTGCCACCTATTCGTTGCCGTTATTCATGATTATTTTCAATCAGTTCTGACGTGTGAACAGCCGTTAGACGTCATCAGACTTTGGCGGGAACACAGAAGCGGGAACAGTGGCGGTTTTCGTTATACAACCAGAAGCACAGTATATACAGTAGCGCAACTCTCACCTTTGATGTCAGATGGATAAAAATGACATCGCTGCACATGCGCGAGCGATGTATGGCTGCGTTCAGCAGAACGTTTG